ACGCAAAAAAAAATATGTCAACATATATTTTTCACATAGATGCTGACATATATGCAGAGATACATGCTTACATATATGTAGACATATATGTAAGCATACACTGAAAAAAAAATTTCTAAGTTTGAGAATTTTTTTACTCAAATCAAGAAAGTTAAATTTTTCAAAATTATTTTCTTGATTCAAGTTAAATTTTTTTCTGTGTATCTCTAGACTCTTATATGCGCACATATATTTAGCGCAAAAAAAATATATGTGAAAATATATATTTGCATATATATTTTTCCATGCGGGCAGTAACCATTTTTTTAGATAGTACCAGAATTTAATTTACGCGCGCAAGCGCGCGCCTCATATTTATCGTCATGATATATTTATGTGTCGTTTATGTATATTATATTCACTTTCAACCAATCAGAATGAGAATATTTATTTTCGACCAATCACAATATGAATAAATTGGTTTCACATACATTTCATCTCAATTTTATTATGGGACTAGAATTGAATTTTGCGCGCGCAAGCGCGCGCCTAACTATAGAGTTTGCATATATTTTCATGCTTATGATATATTCGACCAATCACGTTACGAATAGTTTGATGCCACATACATTTCATCTCAATTTTATATTAGGACTAGTATACGTTGCGCGCGCAAGCGCGCGTGTGAATGTTGGTGTGGAATTATCTATATTTTCATACTTTTAATATATTTGACCAATCACGTTACGAATAGTTTGCTTACATGATATATTCTCATATTTTTCATCTAAATTATAAGAGTGGATTTAATTGATTTAGTTAATGTTAGTGCATTTTTTATTTCATTTGGTAACAGGTTAAAGTATTTAAGTGCAGTATATACAAAGGATTATTTTGGTACTTAGTCTTGGTTATTTTATGTCCCTGAATTATTTTGTGTCTAGATCTGCCTTCATATAATTAAAAATGATTAATTTTTTTTTATTATACTCGTGCGGAAAAAGAGGTATCTTTACGCTTACTATTATACCGTCGAAAAATAGCGACTTGCACATTTTATAATTGCGATGGAGGTTTTTCATCCGATAAACAGTTATTTAAGTTCATTTGCCGCACGCGAATTATTTTTTACACAGGCACATTTAAATAAAATAATAGCTTTGAAATAAAACATAAACAAAAAAATAAAACAATCGAAATATTAAAACTGAATTGAGGTTGACGCGTCAGAAGATTTATTTAATGAATAAAAAAAAATTTATTTATTTATATTGCTGTTGTTATTCTTGTTCCTTTTTGTTCTTATCAAATAAAATTATTCTCATTGTTATTTAATTGATACTTTTTTAACTGCTTAATTTTTCAGTTGTTATTTTTTGTCTTGCTTCGCTCGTGCACTGAAAAAAAAATTAACTTGAATTAAGAGAAAAATTCTTGAATTAAGAAAATAATTTTGAAGAGTTTCATTGGCTAGAATTAAGTAAAATTTACTTGAACCAAGAATTATTTCTTAGTTTAAGAATTTTTTTACTTAAATCAAGAACATGTTCTTCTTCAAGTTAATTTTTTTTCTGTGTGGACGTTTAACATATAAAATCATTTTGTTTAATATTAAAATAATTATTTTAGTAAGATTAAGAGTAAAATAATAATGCATAATTTTATATTAAGAAAAAATAGACAAAAAACTTTAAACACGTTTTTCTCAAAACTATTTTTTTCAAACTAGTTGCATCAATAACTCGGGCAATTATAAATCGATTTATAATTTTTTTTTTGCTCGTCTGAGCAATCGCTGATTAAAAATTTTTTTTTACTATTTTTATATAGATTATAATTAACTTAGATTTTTTTATTTTAATCGACCATAAAAGGGGAATTATTTTAAGACTCTACGGCATCGCTCATATCTTTAAGACTATTTAATATTTTTTATTAAAAATTTGTGTAAATATTTTTGAATGTAAACTTATTAAATTAAATAAGGAGCGATCTTGATATTTCATTAAAAAAAATTACTAATTAAAAAAAAAAAAGTTTTATCATTTTTCATATCTTAGATTTTTTGCTTCGAAAAAATTTTATTTGTAATTATGAGATTGATCTTATTGTTTGCGTCATTAGAAAAACTAACAGTTATTTATAAATTAGAAAAACTAATAGTAGAAAATATCTATCGTAACAAAAGATATGTGTTTCTACAAGTCCGAAGTCTTGAATATTAGAAAGGAAAATAAAAATAGAAACAGAGACCGTTTTAAATAAAATAGACTTGACATTTCCCCCGGTGCTTTATCCTTGATACAAAGTCCAATAAAGTCTATATCTATAATCGGTTTATTAAATTACTGACCACGTTGGCTATAAAAAGAGAGAATCACTTCATTTAATTGAAGATGCTGCTATTATCTGGCGACCAAATGAAAGAAAAAAATCAGAGGCGATGTATAAAAAATGGGAGTGTCTGTCCCCGTTTATTTCGATAACATAATCGGGTGTGTATGAACTTGGTTGTGAAATTATCATATTAAGTGTCTAGTCGATGACGTTTTATCAAAACTTTATTTGATTTATTGCAATAGTCGAAATATATATCATTGTTTAAGAAAACAATTTTTTAATTATCGGTTTATCGCGTCGTTTGATGTATTATATAGAATGAGTTGCAGAAAAATATCATTTTATTTATTTGATAAATTTAAGTAGGACTCTATAATTTCAATTACTTAAAGAAATTTTGAATTATGATAAAATGGATCGAAAACAACAAATTCAATTTTCAAAAATATGCCGCAAAATAAAAATTATAATTTTAAATCAGGAAAAAAAAAAAGAAAGTCTGTCATATTAATTATAACATTTTTAAAGGAACTTTCGACTAGTAGAAAGAAATTTATTGTTTTGTAATAAGCATGAACTTATGCTCATAAAGAAATCTCTTGAAATAAAAAGTTCGAACAAAAATCAATTAATCAAAAACTTACACTGACAAATATAATCTGTTGGAAAAAAAAAAAAAAAAAAATTGGTTCAAGACCTCAAGTAAATATTTTTCTTCAAAATTTCAGTTTAATTTAAAAATATTTACATCTCTTAATCAAAGAAAACGTTACACTTAAATAAATAAATTATATCTTTTGGATGAAGGTCGAAAAACTCTCCATTCAAGAATTTTATCCTTCGAACGAGTATTTTCCCCCACAGAAAAATTATATCGTAAGAGATATTCAAAAAGTTTGGAAAATCCAAAAAAGCACGCCTCATAATCTCATTTTCCACAATAAAATTGATTAAAATAAAATACAATAAACAAAATAATAAGATTTAAGCCGAGATAATTGCTTGACCTTGAGAGAGTCAGAGTAAATCACTACTCCAACGCTTCGCGTTATGAGACGTGCAAAATAGAAAACTCTCCACGGAAAAAAGTAAACTGTTAATAAATAAAATGTCAATAGTTCACAAGATACAAGATCATTTCTTAATTATGTATCTAGAGATAGAGCAACTCCAGGTCAAGACTTTTCCAACGATACCAAATTTAACCATACACTGATAGAAGGATTTCTTAGTATTTAAAAAGATTTCTTTGTATTAAAGAAATCATTTTTTAAACATCATTTCTTAGTATTTAAAAAATATTTTTTAGTATTTAAGAAATATTTCTTAAATACTAAGAAATATTTTTTAAATACTAAGAAACGATGTTTAAGAAATGATTTCTTAAATACAAAGAAATCTTCTTAAATGCTAAGAAATCCTTCTATCAGTGTAAAAACCCATTTTATCATATAAATACACTGACCACAAAATTTCGCTTATTCTCTTAATAATATAGATAATTAATAATTGAAAGTAATATCAAAATCAATGTGAAAATTTGGATTTTTAAATTTTAATCATAAGAACCGTAGATTTTTATCTTCAATGCAGGATCCTTGCTTACCGATCACTCGTAGTTCTGAAATAATCACTCTAGCTTATTGTCCCAATTATGTCGACTAATTACAAAAGACCATTATTATTACTCTCTGAACACTACTGATAACTTAATGGTATTTACCGTTCGGCTATTAATAAAAAAACTTAAATTTTACTGCTAGTCTTTAGTTATTTACTGTGACACATTTAAGATACTTCAGAATTTGTGCCCAAAAATTCTTGAAATATGATTGTATTTCTCAAAATTTTTATTGTTCTTCTCCTAAACAGTTACCGTAAGTAATTGAAAACTTTTCAATATAACTTTCGTTGGTGACAAATTGCCACGTGATCAAAGAATATAAATTTTCCACAGTGTGTTTATCGAATACTCTTGAAATTAAAGAATTAAAGTCCGAAGAAGATATTCGAAAACTCACAAATTTTCCAGTTACAAATTCATCTTCAGGACAGAGTGCGGCACCACAGCCCCCTTTACCAATACGGTCCCCTTCGCCACGACGGTCCTTCTCAAATCTTAGGTAAAAATTTTTTTTTTATTTTCCGTCAAGTTATGACAATGATGTTTTAATGATATTTTGGGCCAATATGTGATATGTGGGGCATAATGGACCACTCGAAAATAAAATTGTAACGAAAAAATTATTTTTTGTTTTTTAATTGTGATAAATTTAAAGAATTCATTTTTTCAGGTCAATGGTATTTATCTTGGGTAAAATTAATTAGAAAAAATTGAATTATATAGTTTATAAAAAATTAAAAACACAGTTTTTTGAAATTAATACAGTAATTATATTATTAATTATTGATCACGATATCTTTTGCGCCTGGCAGAAACTCAATCTCAAAGTTCTATTTGAGTTCCTCCAAGGATGTCTTACTCTACGCAATTCATTGTTTCTAATTTTGACTTGACAAAAATATAAAAAATTAGAAAAACGCCATTTGGCCACACCCGAAATGAAAGGTAGATTTCACTGATTGAAATTCTTGATAGAATGACGTACATAAGTCGGTTGTACTACACATTGCCTGAAAATGGTTCAGTTGCACTCTTAACTTTGATGAAATAACTAAAAATGGTCAAAATGTTAATGCTATTAATGTATATACGTCAAATTAAAGGTAATTTCATGAGCTATTTCATGAATTTTTCAAAAATTAGTTATCTCTGTTCAATCAAAAGTTATACATCAATGAAGTGGCCAAAAATGTGATTTTCACTATTTTGGCAAAATCATTTTTATATTTTGAATATTTATTTTTCAAATTTTTTGGTTTTGATTTTATTATTTTTTTGTTCAACTGAAGTCCTTTTTTTTTTTCTTAATTTTGATTTTTTTTTTTTTTTAGTTCTAGGCCAGCCTCAGCATCCGTAAGAATCGAGGTTTCCCCTCTACGACGTATTCTGGGAAAAGAATATCCAGATTTTGATGGTAATGGCTTTAGTAAAAAAAAAAAAATGTTTTGTGTCCTTTTTTGGGAAGGGAGATAGAAAAAAAAATTTTTTTTTCCATTTTCTCCAAAATTTCGACTGATTTATTCGAAGTAGACCGAAAATAAACAAAGTTGATGGTTAAAAACCACAAAAAGAAATAACCCTCCCCTAATTAATCGCTAATTAATAATTACCATTATAAAATATTCATTAAGTCATTACAAAACAACACATTTGTGACTTTTGATTCAATTTTAGGATCCTTGGACTTACGAACCGGAGCATCATCAAATTTCACACTATTGTCGATCGTTGAAGGCGAGTCGTTGATAATAGATTGCAAAAACACTGAAAAAATAACATTTTTGTATCCAAAATTTCCCAAAAATGAAGTAAGTACTTGATTCATGAACCTCTGATAATTGGTCAAAATTTGTTGTACTAATATCAAATTGATTCTCAAACAGGTCATTACCTCTCCTGAAGAAATAACGGTCTCTTTATCAGATAAAGTGTATTCTGCAAAATTCGAACGTAAAAAAGCGGTGTATAACGACAGTGGATGGTACGGCTGTGCTGATCTACCAGACGAATTTGACAAACTTTATCAGAATCGGTTTCCATTTACTCCTGATCTTTATAATAGTTCCAATGTTCGATGGGTTTATGTCTTTGTTAAATGTAAGATCATTGAAATTTTAACAGAAACTTTTATAACCTATAAATTATACATAAAATATATTTCAGCGCTCGATCACTTGTTCGTAAATACTCCGTTTGTGCTAAATGATACAGAAGGTCATTATCGGCTTATTGAAAAGGTCGGTAATGATGTTATTCTGCCATGCCGCCCGACTTCACCCAATTACAGGGTTGGATTGCAATTTGGAAACAGAGTAAGTAACGATTAATTATTAAAGGTTACAACCTAATGTCGAAATAGTAAGAAAAATACTTTTGTTTTTTAGACAGATGTTCCATTTAATTATTCTTTATATGATCCAACAATAGGATTTGTAATTAAGAACATTATAAGTAATCATTCCTTGTCTTATATTTGTGAAAGTTTCAACTCTAATGGAGATTTTGAAGTGAAACATTTTCAGATAACCCTGAAGCGTAAGTTATCAGTAGCTAACTTTATTTGCACTTTTACGAAAGTGATTTATTACCAAGACAACTAATACCTGTAATTTGATCCCACCGACAACTGATCCCTAAAATGATGCTTTTAGTATGACCCCGCTGTAAAGTTCAGCAGGGTCCGCGGTGAAGCCCTCCACTTGAAAAGAAATAAATTATTATTTTATTCTACATCTGTTATTGCCATTAGTTTTAATCGTGTCCTATGATGTTATTTTACTGTAGCTCGATGTTTGATAATGTTGATAACCATCCTAGGATATATCAGCATATATTTTTTCGGTGAATTTTCTTATACCCAGCATATAATCTAGGATACATAATTTTTCCGTAGAGGGAAAATTCTGAATTTGTAGTCAACTTCCAATTGACACCAATTATTGTATAGCAACCTAGCACTACAACTTTAGTCATTTGTTAATACTTAGTGTCATTTACATACTTTAGGTTATCCTGAATTTCGAGATGTGCCGGTAATATCAACTGACTCACTTACCCACATGGAAGTCGGCAAAGACTTCATAATGAAATGTGAAATTTGCATCTATCAGCCCAACCAATATTCTTTTGGATGGCAAATGCCTCGGCCGGTACCCATCCATATATCACTAATCTATCCAGTATGATAATTGGGTTTACTTCCTTAACCTTTTAAAATTTTTATTTCCAGAACAATCGAACCAGTCAAAAATTGATCCGTCTCAACGTTTCCAAACGTCCGAGTGTCGATTTTTGGGATTCCGACATCTGCGAAACTCAAATTATCGAATTGCAGATCAAAAGCGTTACTATTGAAGATTTTGGCGTGTATAGGTGTGACCTTTATCGATACCCAGTTCTGAACTCAGCCACAGTTAACCTAGTGCCTCATGGTGAGTATTGTTGGGTTGGCTAATCATCAAAAAGCATAGTTAACCTTAATTAGGTAACACATTGACTTTTGAGCAGAAAAAAAGCATTTGGAGTTGTCAATGAGGGTTCGAAATGATTCAAAGCCAGTCAGAAAGTCTCACAGTTACACTTGGGACCTTGAAGTCGACGCCTATCCGTTACCCGTCGAATTTAAGTGGTAAGAATAAAATTTCACAGAAAGTTGCTAGTACTGTAGTTATTTGTCAAAATTCTTCAGGTTAGGTCCAGGCGGGTATGAAATTTCCAATTTTTGGAGTTATGAAAACTATCAAGTCAATGACGAACGATTCTCAGTTAAATTAACCAAATGGGATGTTGATTGGAAGGACACTGGGACTCATGTTATTTTTGCTCACAATTCCGAAGAGATTAAAATTTTTAGTTTCAATGTTCTAGTTGAAGGTACTGTTAGTAATCGAAGAAAAATTCAATTCAATTTCAAAAATTAGTTAATCTATCTAGTCTATGTTCGTCTTCAGGAATTCCAGAAATCATAGACTTCGTAGAAAATGATGTAGATTGCTATTTAAGACACGAAACAGTCTTTTTCGACTGTGCTGCGAGAGGGTACCCTCAACCAGTCATAACCTGGAAGTTTGGCAAAGACTACAAAAGTTCGAACGATATTCCACTGAGTTCTGTCTACTCTAAGGTAATTATCCGTTGTAACTTTAAATTGCAATTATTTCTAAAAAAGATACTTTTTACAGAATGGCACATCCAGTGATAACATTCCAAAAGTTTTTTCTACTGCCTGGGTAGAGATATTGGGGTCCGGAATGATGTTCTGCGAAGCATGTAATAAGTATGGGTGTGATTGGAAAGTAATGCAATCTGTCTATATTACATTGAGTCCTAAGTGCTGCAACACTAAGAAGAAGCAGCGATGGAAATTAAATTTTTCAAGCTTAGGGTAGTATCAGAGATACCGCAATATGTTATTTTTTATCATTACTTGAATTTTTATTGAAATCTGATGGGTACTTTTTGTAAAATAAAATAAAATCTGTGATTTCTTATAAAAATCAATGATGAAGGTAAACATTTTTTATATTCACTCCTTTAGACAAAATCTTGGAAGCTATCCAGAAGATCAATTCAATAGACCCCAACTTCAATCGATGGAATAACTTGTCTTCTTACCGACCAGAAACCTCCGTAAAATCGGAAACTACCGCCATCTACCAACTCTTCTAAGCATCCTTAACCTCGTTCAAAACCTGTTTATCTCTTCTCTCACCGCGCGAGATTGTGTAGCGGATGCTCCACTTATATATTACTTATCAGTCATCTGGTATCTGAGCTTATAATTCAGCCACAAATTAAAAAATAAACTTCCATTAGCCTGACCACCAACTTAGTGATTAACAGTATTAGTAAATTTCACTCATTTTGTTATAAAGTCCAACTCAAACTCGCAATCCTACGGCTTATTAGCTTACTAAACAAGAGACTTTATCGCTGTATCACAACAATGCGTCATAATTGCAATGATTCGGCATTAATTACGTCTTGTCATCGTAGTAAATAAAAAATTACATAAAACAATTGTGCCTACGTATAAATAATATCACAGCCGTTTGTTAACTCAGTCTTACTTGGACCGTAAGCATAAAAAGTTGTAATTACCATGGAACTGATAATTGGCCTTGTGGTGTTGTTGATCCTCCTTTACTACTACTTCACATCAACGTATAATTTCTGGCAGGAGCGCGGCATAATTGGTCCCAAGCCAACGGTTTTGTTCGGAACGATCAAAGATGTGATCTTGGGCAGGCTATCCATAGGCAGCTACCTTAAGAAAGTCTACGACGAGTATCCCAATGAACCCATGGTGGGATTCTTCACAAGATGGGAGCCAGTTCTGATGTTGAACGACATGGAGCTGATCAAGAATGTCCTGATCAAGGACTTCAAGTTTTTTATGGACAGAGGAATGCGCATCTCTGAAAAGCACGAGCCACTGACAGCGCATCTCTTCTTCATCGAATCCAAGAGATGGCGTGTGCTCAGGCCCAAGATGACGCCAGTGTTCACTTCCGGGAAGCTCAAGGACATGTTCTACTTGTTAACCCAGTGCGCTGACCAGCTGGACAAGTACTTGGATCAGTTTGACGGCAAAGAAGTTGACATCAGAGAAATTAGTGCAAGGTTTACAACTGATACCATTGGTGTGTGTGCTTTTGGATTGCAAGCTAATGCCCTCGCGGAGGAGGATAGTCTCTTTCGGAAGATGGGCAAGAAGATCTTCGAGCCTTCCTGGAGGAATTTGATCAAATTCAGGCTGAGGAGCTTTGCGCCTGGGTTGTTTGAGGTGATTGGAGGCTTGTTTAAGGACCATGACATTCATGATTTCTTCGTTGGCATCACCAGGGACACCATTGAGTACAGGAAGAAGAATGGGATCTCTAAGCACGATTTTGTAGACTTGCTGGCGATGATGAAGGACAGTTGGAACAATGAGGAATTCGGTAAGTTTTGAGTTTAATCGTTTGGAAACAAATTGACATTCATAGTTTTCGATTGCAGAACTTACTGATGAACTTCTGGCTGCCCAATTGTTCGTGTTTTTCATTGCTGGTTTTGAAACCTCATCTTCTACCATGAGCAACTGTATTTTCGAGCTTGCAATGAATCACGAAGTACAGGACAAGCTAAGGGAAGAAATCAAAGAAGAAATGGAGAGAAACAATGGCGTGATTACTTACGAAGGGATTAAAAACATGAAGTACCTCGACAAAGTATTTAACGGTATGCTTTTGATTGTTGAATATTTTTATTTAATAAATCATAATGATAATTGATGGACGCAGAAAAAAATTTTTTTAAGATAACCTAAGATATGTTGTGGTAACAAATGAATTTGTTAACATAGGGATAACAAATCATATGTTAAAATAACAAAATTTAGGTTATAACAAGTTATTGATATGTTATAACAACAAATTAGTTTTGTTACTATAGCAAAATCTTTTAGTTGATTCGACAAAATACTTTAGTTGGTATAACAAATTTTTTTGTTGAAACAGCAAAATTATTCTATTAAAATAACCAAGAGAATTTGTTGGATTAACAAAGACAATTTGTTGAAGTAATAAAGTGAATTTGTAAAAATAACAATAAGAATTTGTTGGAATAACAAATAAATTTGTTACAGTAAATTTTATATGTATACATTTAAAAAGCAACAAATTAGTTTTGTTATTGCAATAAAACCACTTTGTTACAGCAGCAAAATCACTTGGTAACAGCAACAAAGTCATTTTGTGATAGCAACAAAATAATTTTGTTAGAGCAACAAATTTATTTTGTGATTTAACAAACTGGTTTGTTAGTACAACTTGAAACTTTTTGTTAATGCAACTAATGGATTTGTTGCTATAAACATACTCATTTGTTACCAGGACATATTTTTCAGTTATCCCGTCTTTTGTTATTTCAACAAAATCGTTTTATGCGTGTGGAAATGGATCAGTTGACAATTTTTTTCGTTTTCAGAAACGCTAAGGAAGTACCCGCCGGTAACATCGATAATGCGGAAAACTACCAGTCCATACACTTTTCCAGGGACAAAAGTAACCATACCTACGGATACCAACGTATGGATTCCAAGTTTTGCGATCCAGCGCGATCCAAAATATTATCCTAACCCTGATGTGTTCGATCCCGAGCGGTTTAGTGAAGAAGAAATAGAGAAACGTCCGGCAATGGCGTTTTTGTCTTTCGGAGATGGACCGCGCAATTGCATTGGTAAGTTAATTTATGAATTAGACGATTGGTAAGATAATTTATGAATTTTTTTATTAACAGGAGCCCGATTTGGACAAATGCAAACTAAAGTAGGAATTGTTAAGATTCTGCAGAACCACAAAGCCGACGTTTGCGAAAAAACTGACAAAAATTACACAATCAATCCTCGTAGTTTCCTTTTGGCGCCAGTTAATGGCGTTGTTGTTAAAATAATTAAACAATAAATGGTTTATTGTTTACTTTGATTAAAAAGTATAACTTTTTTATTTGAACAATGTCAAAAGTGAAGAGTAATTAATTCCAAAATTAGATGAAAATTGATATGTTTGTTTGGGAGATATTATAAAAATAAAAAATATTTTTTATCCATTTAATTTTTAGATAGCGATTTTTGATAAAACTTATTGTTATTAATTACGGCTCTATTTGATATCATAAGTGCTATTTATTATATATTATTTGTCTAAGTATGAAAAAAATGAATCAATTATTGATAAATAATGACTTTTGATACAATGTAACACTAACTACTGTTGTAGTATAGTAGCACACTGAAATTATAATTCATGACTGTTTATTGCTAACGGAATTAATATAAGTCATCATTTGTTGAAGATATGTTACATGATTATTTTAATATTAATAAAATCTATTTGAACACAACGTATGTATTAGTACAGTGCGCGTCATTGATTCGTACCGGTTGAAAAATTTTAAGGTAAAATAGATAAATCAAAATTTCGATATCTGTAAATAAAGAAATCAATAAAAGAAAAATCTTTATAATGATCAATTTGGACAAAGTTGAAAAAATAATTTACTAAAAATAAATAACTCAAAATATCAATCACTATTAAAATAGAAATGAAAAATATTAGTAATTAAAATAATCACACACTTTATAAAATAAATAAAAGTAAAATTTTAATATTAAAAAAAAAAGACAACGATATAATTCGATAATTTTTAAATTTATCAATTATAAATATAGGCATTGGATAAAATAAAATAGACTAAATTCAGAGAAGTCAGTAAAAAGACATTTGAATATTTATATTAATAAAAATATTGATAGTTATTAATATATAAATTCTTAAAAAATAGACATCTCTAAATATAGACTAGAAAATTTAGATAACGGTGATTTTAGACATCTGTAAATTTTGATTTATATTAATTTATAAATTCAAATAAAAATACAATTAAAAATATAATTGCTTTCAATTTACGAGCTAATAAAAAATTGAAACAGTATTTCTATAAGGCTCTAGAGCACTAGACCAAAACCCTTGAATGTTTACGGAGTCGGTTCACCAGGAGGTTGTGGATTAGGCTGCTGCGGGATTCCCCGCGCTCCAAATAATAACCTAAAAATTTTTAAAATAGTAAGTGTCGTATTTATCAGAGTTAGCTA